CTAGACAAACATTTCGTGTAATAAATAACAGGGGTCCATGACGACAAGGCTGCAGTTAACTATCATTGATCATTTCAACAAGATTTGGACAGATATCTGTCACCCAAGAATCACTCTTGATTTATAGACACGGCCCAAGTTGGTCCATTATTTTCAAAATTTATTTTTCTTTCTCTCATTTTTAATTACACATTTTTAATAAAATAATATTATACGCAAATTCAAAATTACTTCTTATTTTTTAACTACAAAATCTCGATCAAATCACTATTCTAAAGTACATTTTTAGCCCAAAAAAAAAAAGAAAAAAAAAGGCTCAAACAAGATCTTAGCCTTAATCTCGTATGATTCTTTGAAATTCTTTTTTTTTTTTTTTTCAAATTTATTTTCAATCACATTCTTTCAATACAATAATTTTGCATGTGGGCATATAAATTTTTTCTGCTTTTTAATAACAAAATTTTCAAAAAATATCACTTGTCACAAAATCTATTTTCAGAAAATCTACATTTTAATTAATTTTTTTCATTTATTTTTGTTTTATTTTTGAGTTTGACTTTGAGGCAAATGGTCAATTGAGGGGGAAAAAATCAAAATTCTCAATTCTAATACTGTGTGTTAAACAAATATTTTATTTGTACAATTTACCAATTTATAAATGGTTAAATACACTCTTGGTCAGTAAACTTTTAGTGAAATTTTATCTTGGTTACTAAACTTCATTTTGTTTCAAGTTGATCACTTCATCATGTCTAATAGTTTGACTACTAGAAAATTTGACGTGTTTTTTTCAGTTGTTCACCAACTAATCTTGCACATTAATTATTCTTTTTTGAACATAGAATTCTATTGTTGCCACAAATATACTAGCATTGTAACACGTCTATTTCACCATGAATAAAAGAATAGATCAAATAAATTTAGTGGCCAATTTTCTTGCTTTTAGTCAGATTTGAGTATAAACATTTTAAAAATCATTTGTTCGTGTAAAGTTAGAATCGATCAATTTGGTACTTAATAATGGAATTTTCAATTGAGAATGATACTCTACTCTTACACAGCCTTCTAAGCTTCGAAAATTAGAGATCTAAATATTCTACTATTTTGGAAAAGAATTATTTGTTTGGTGTGGAAACTGTGAAATTGTTCGTGGAAATTATAGAATTTATTTTGTTCGATCAAATGAAAAAGTTCAGTTCTAAAACACGCTAGTATATATTCGAGAAGCCGGATTAAGCAATCCATTACAATCATCTGAATTTAAATCAGGAGTGCACTGTGCTAGTCCATAAATTGTGAAAAGATCGGTTCCGGTCACGTTGGCAGCAACAAACTTCTTGAAAGCTCCACATAAGCAGCCTAGCTGCGGAGATTATCCAACAATGTTCTCAAATCCCTGTTGAACTCTTCCAGACTTGTGGACTTGTCTAATAAAAACCACGCGTCGAGGGGGTAAGTTGTAAGTTTTCCAAATATTGGCTCATTGGAGTAGCATAGCATGCATTGACCACCCTCACCCCCAAAAGATCGCCTCTTTTTTATGAGGATATAACTGTAAGAGGGCGTCCGTAGCATTATTTATACAACTATGACATGCATCGAGCTGAAGGTCTCCTCTACAGAGTGCAATTGCATTTAATCTATTGGAATTTTCTCCATTCGAGGCATTGTAAAATCCATTTCCATCAATATTAGAAGAGATTGAGGAGAGGAGGGTATCGAGATTTCTCTTGTACGTGCTATTACTTGTGTAATTACCATTGTTTAGACAACGGTGACTCTGGGATTTAACCAAAGGTAAAAAGTTTGTCAGACTGAGGAAAATGAAAGTCAGCCATTTCCCAGAAGACGTCACTATAGTAAAGTGTGTATATATCTCTAATACGGAGAGAAGAAATAAAAGTGAACAAAAATGGAATTAGAATTCATATGCTTTATAGTATGAAGTAGGTCTCCTTATATGAATCAATGTCAAATAGTCAACCAGTTATTTTCCACTAAAAATTAACCATTATTTTCAAGTCTAAAGCATAATTTCTTGTTTTCAGCAATTGACTAGGGCTTGAATAATCCGCAACTTCACACTACTTTTATGTATGGAAAATTAAGGGTCATTGACGAGGGGAATGAATACGGAAAATGTGAAAGAAGAAAAGGAGGGGGGAAGGCTTAGTATTTTCCCATAATTGACCATTTCAAACTAGTTTTCACTTCTTCCTACACCACAATTCAAGCTAAACTTTCCACCCTCGCATTATTAAACATTTAGCCCCTGTTTGGTAATCATTGTTTTCATACTCTTTTTCTACATACTCATTTGAACCACATGCTCGTACAATAAAATATTCTACACGTAAACTCATAATTTTTTCTACTATTTAAATATACATTCTCCTAAAAAAATACTATACAGAACTCTTTTTTCCCCAAAATAATGGTTGTTAAACAGGGGCATAACTTCGTGGAAATTGATTTTCTACCAATTTTTGAAATTTGCCAAAGCATTATTAGTAGCATTCAAATTCTCACCTTAATGGATACAATGATGTGAATATGGAAAAATCGTCAACCAAAATTGCATTGTATTTAATGTTTTTATCAGTGGCTAACAAGGCTGGCCCCCCAAATTAATTACTATTACAACTTTTTCCCATTTGAGAACCAATACATGTAGGAGGTTTGATTACCCAAGGAGATACATCAATAAAAATTTTCTCCTTTAACAAAGTAACTAACTTCGGATGGGGTGCCCAAGTCTTAGATGCCAATAGTTGGAGCCGAACAACTTTTCCTTTGTGCGCTCAAAGTTTGATGAAAGATGTCATCCAAGGAATAAAGCCAACCCTTCTAATACTCCTTGCAATTATCATTTGATTTCGGTCTTTAACGACAACTCAAAGGAACAACAATTTATCTGAACGAAACTTTTCAATGGATACTGAGTTCCTTTTCAAACTAGGACTAAAAGAACAATAATATAGTTTAAAGCTTCCTTCCTTTGTCATAACATTTGAATCACATGAGAAATATGTAAACCATTTCCATCGCAAATGTTGTGTTTTAATCCTCTCAAAGACGATATCGTAGATAAGTAACATATATGAGCTGAGAATTTCACGGTGACTACTTACTTATTAATCACTTTATTAAAACTAACCTTAATTCAGAATGAAGATTTACTAAGAAGATGTGGTCCAAAATTATCTCTTTTTACACCTTTTGCAGAGATGCTTTCTGTGCTCATTTTCTAGCTCCTTCTGGATTTTATGCAATTGAAGAAGCTTTACATTTTTGTAAAGAAATGATAGTATTCAACTTATTTATGTCTGAAAAAGTTAGACAAACCATGCAAACCACTACTTCTCAAGCATAATCTTCATCCTCGTCTATACAACTTTGATATAGTTGTGAAACTATGACCAAATTTGTTAGAAATTTGAATATTAAAAAGCATTAATTAGAAGAAGGACTACAAATCCTTGAAGATGAAATCTCTTTGTCCCAATAGATTATTAGTAAATATCAAAATGAGATTCTTCAATTACAAGATAGTTTAGAAAGACTGAGTCCTAGAGATACTCTTGAAAGACCCATTTCTAAAGACATTGCTTCCACACGTAAAAATTATTCAGATAAAATGGAAAACTTATTGAACTAAAAGTGTGTTTGATTACATTTATTTTCCATAGAAAATATCAGTTTTCCATCCAAATTTTCACTTTGAGTGTTTGATTGCTATTTTTTTCCATGGAAAACATTTTCCAACTTTTGAAAATATGCCTAATTTTCCTTGTTTTTAAGGAAAATATTTTCCTTGGGTAGATGTGGTTTTTATTTTCCACAAAAGATGGAAAATATTTTCTTTTCTAGGTAATATTTTCCATGTCAATCAAATACACCCTAACAGATTTTACAACTATAGGGCAAGAAAAGACTTTACATGGATTAGAACAAAAAATTGGTGATTGCGCTAATATTATTCGAAATTCTAAATAGAATTCAGTTGCACAAGAGATTATCGACTTTTCTCAAATTTTAAGCTACTATCACAATGAAAATAGATACTTTGTTAAACATGATCTCCAATATGAATCAACTAAAAATTCAGCCTTTCTTAAAAATAATCACCCTACAATTTTCTTTGATTATACAATCTTTGAAGAAGAAGACATTTTTTTAATCCAACTTTATAGTTTGGTATGATGGACACTATATATGTATCTTTTATCAGGAAACTCCGATACTGAGAGATAGATAGCTCGACGATTTACTTCTTGATCTGTAAAGAGGAGTCACATCTATTTCTATTTAGGGAGGATAACATGTGGCTTTGTATAATAGTTAATCTACTAATTTCTCGATTTTCTAGACAAATATTAATAAACTTTCTAAAACTTTTTACTGAACAACAAAGTAGAGTAGATGAAGTATAATTGCTTAATGGCATAAAATATTAGGACTTAAAAACAATATATTTGTAATGACATTAGAGTACTTTACCGTTTAGTAAATTATTATTATTATTATTTATTTTATTTTTTTAGACTCTCTCTTAACTTTTTTCTTGATCTTAATTAAAAAAAATTTCATCATGTTTAAAAATATTTGAACAAACTCCCAAGATTAGGGTACAAAACAACCAGTTTAACTTAGAGGATTACTTTATCTTTTTAATCATAGAATCCAAAATAAAGAAGCTAAGAGCATTGAATTAAAAAGATAACTTTTTTATGAATAAATTAATTGCTTACTTGGTGTTTCCTGTGTTAGGCCGTACCCGAAAATAAACAAAGTAAAAAGAAATTACAAGCAAGGAGAAGTATGAAAAGGACTTACTTTAGTATGGAGTCTTTGATTGTACAGAGATGTCTTTGAATTTACAAAGATTGTAAGAGGAAATTTTAAGTACAAAGGTTATAGTGTGCTTTGTTTTGCTTGTTATATAAAGGACTAATGTTTATATCTCTAGTTTTACGTGCTAATTTACGACCAACAGCACAAACATGGAACTGATCAGATCTATAAATAATATAACATGTAGAAATTGTGTTATTCACAATGGGGATATCACTATCATAAACAATATACAAATCATGAACGAAGAACACAAGTTCGCTTGGTGGGTAATTATGTGTTAATGAGAGCAAAAGTGACTGTAACAATGAATATGCATATTCGTAGAAGTTAACGCGGGTATAACTCACTCATTGAAACATCATTTGTTGATAAATGAGCATTATTGTTTGATTGATCATTGGATGAACCGTTCTCACAAGGAAGTGAAATTTCTAGATCAAAGCTACCAGGCAAGAAAAATGCAGGTTGTAGAGGTACCGACAAAGTTAAGGAGGAGCTAGAGAGCATGAGAACCACCGATGCCATTGTGGGTCGATTGGTTGAATTCTCTTGAACACAAAGCAAGCCAATGTGGATGCATCGCAAAATATCACGCAACGAATTTAAAGAAGCTCTCAAGACAGGATCTATTATATTTGCAGCTGTTCCTTCATGCCAATTTTTCCAGACCTGTGAGAATTGGAATATATATTTGAATAATAACGATGTCATTCTTGGTAAAGTCAAATTGACAAGGACCCAACTTTTTTATATTGGTACTTACACAACTTAGGAGGTCATCCATGCTCTCTCTATTTCTAAAATTATTGGTTTTCTGACCGCATATGATTTCAAGAACTAGGACGCCAAAGCTGAAGACATCTGATTTAACAGAGAATTGTCCATGCATTACATACTCAGGTGCCATATATCCACTGTGATGGTTAGTTTGTAGACATATCATTAGTGTTGAAGTCATTTAAATAACCTTCTGACTATGTTTAATGCAAAAAGATCACATTTTTAGTTTTGTCGATCACTTAATAAATTCTTATTATGCATAGTATGCGCTTTGTAGAAATAAACTAAAAGATACTTCAAGACTATGAAGTTAACTAAAGTGCTTACTAGGTTCCTACAATTCTGCTAGTGCTGTGTTGAGTTTCTTCTGGGACAAACAATCTTGCCATGCCAAAATCTGAAATTTTTGGTTTCATCTCTCCATCTAAAAGAACATTGCTAGCTTTGAGGTCACGGTGAATGATCTGGAGCCGAGAATCTTCATGTAGATAAAGAAGTCCCTTAGCAACACCCCCTATGATTATATAACGCTTTCCCCAATCCAAATATGGATGCATGTTGGGATCTACAAATCCGTTAAGCATATATGCCATTGTGAAGGCTCAAATGAGGATAATTATGCTATAAATAAATAGCAATACGTACACTTGCAATACAAGAGATATGATTTGCTTAAAATAATATCAAATCGTTACCGAATATGAAGCGGTCAAGACTCCCATTCTGAACCCATTCGTAAATAAGAAGCCTTTCACTTCCTTCAACCGAGAAACCCAAGAGCCTAACCAAATTCCTGTGTTGAAGTCTTGTTAATAACAAGACCTCGTTCTTAAATTCCAAGTCCCCTTGTCCTAGATCTCTGGACAATCTTTTCACTGCGATTTCAATTCCTTTTGGCATTTTCCCCTGATATTATAAATCACAAGAAGTAAAAATCATCTAAACTTTCTCTCTATCAATGAGCTTTGATTAGTACATCACCACTCTAAATATATGACATGTTAATATGTATGCTTACTACCGAGTATTTATTCCTATATATTGAATCATTTCACCTAAAAAAGACATACCTTGTAAACACCACCAAATCCACCTTGTCCCAACTTGTTAGCATCAGAGAAATTTTCCGTTGCAGCTCTTATTGTACTAAAGTCATATTGTAGGGATTCAATAGTACTAGTCTCATTGTCAGCTTGACCAAATTATAGAAAAACAGTTCAGGTGAATTGTAGTTGAAAGATAACATTGAGGTCGATGTACATAAAATTAGAAAACTAAACTTACTTTCAATTTTCTCCAATGGCTTACGTGTTTTTTTGGTTCTTAGGATGATGCCAATGCAAAGACCAAGTATTAGGCAAACAACAATGGGAACGATAACAATGATGACATTTCGAGTTGTATTATCGTCCTTTCCTGCAACATTCAAAATAAAAGAACTTTCGATCAATATTCCTTGGCTCCCTGTATTTCAAAAAAGGTTAGTGATGTATAGGCGACTATGAGCAAATATTGATGACTTTAAATTCAATTAAAATGTAGTGCAACTAATAAAAAAGTGTAGTATGAATATAATTATAAAATATTAAAAAATGCGGGTTGTAACTAACAAAATTCGTGGTATGAATATAATCATCATTTACTTTAATCAAGTCTCTACGGCCAACTTTACTAGTATGACATTACTTTCATTAGCCGAATTAATAGACTTACAAAGTGACTTCATAAAACATAATAATAATAATAATAATAAATCAAGTACTTCAATCTTTAAAAAAGGGTGACTTGATCTTCAATCTTTCACTGTGCTTGCAAAATAAATTCTAGAAGATAGAAACCATTAAGTCTATGCCAAACCGTCATGTGATCTTCACATCCCAAATTTTTGAACCTAGATTTACACACTTACATTACATAAATTATTATTTAATGAAGATTTAGATGGTTTCTACCATTAGTATTGATTTGCAGCTCATATAAGGGACTTGCACATTTATAAAGGTTTGGGTTCACAGGGAAATAGCTTTGGAACAAATAGGTCATTTTTTTCCATTTTATACAATAAAATATATTCCGGAAAATAAAAATTAGGATTCATAAACAGAACGTCCTTACCTGGTGGTGGTTGTGGTGGCGACAGCGACGGCGGCGGCATTGGTGATGCTGTTGTCTGGAGTATTTCAACCATAGTCTCATTGTAGAAGGGAAAATCAGTTTCAAAGCGAAGATAGCAACTGGGCCTAAGGATTCTAACTCCACCTGCCTCATCACAACATTCTCGAATGCGTAAAAGAGATTTTTTTAAGCAATCATCGCATTCCTTTGGTGTAATATCAGGCGTGCACTGCTCAAATGCATAAGTTGTCTCATAATCCCGGTTAACTCGACTAGCTGCAGCAAATTTCTTGGGGGAGCTATTATAGGCGGTCTGGTTTCGAAGACTATCCAACAATATGTTAAGCTCCTGGTAAAACTTGTCTAGATTTGTGACTTTTTCCTCACTATAACCAAAGTCAAAAGGATCATATGCTGGAGTTCTGAAGATAGTCTCGTTGGAGTATCGTACCATACAAAATTCGTGCCACAAAAATGCCTGTTTTTGATTTGGACACTTCTTTAAGATTTCAACCGTAGCGTTTTTGACATAATCATGGCATTGATAAGGCTGAAGATCTGCTCTACAGAGCGCAATGACATTGACTCTATCGGAATTTTCTCCAGTTGAAGCATTGTAGAATCCATTGTTGTCTATATTAGGCGAGACAGTGGAGAGGAGGGTATCAAGGTTTGTCTTGTACGTGCTACTACTTGTGTAATTACCATTATCTAGACATTTATAATTGAAATGAATTGTTGTTGGGAACTCGGATTTGACACTAACAACAAGGTTTATCAGACAGATTAGCAATATGAAATTAGGAAGCCATTTCCGAGAACTCATTGCTAAAGTATGATAACCTCTATAATTTAGTAGGTACATATAAACCTCAATGAATTTGGCATTATTCATGCTTTGAAATTTTTAAGTAGCAGGTAAAAAATCCCCATCATTGACCATTTCAACAAGACTTTTTCCTCTCCAAGCAAGAGGAAAGGATTATTTATTATTTATTTTTGCTCATAATGAGCATGTTTCTGTGGTTAATAAGTGTACTAAAAAAAAATGTAAATTTTGAGAATCATGCTTGTGAGAATGAATAACTTGAAAGTAAATTTGATTTATTTTAACACAGTCAAACATGTTTTATTCACTCGCTTATAATTATTTTACAGAGTTTATTTATTTGATTTTTACAGCTTAATGGAAATAATATGTAAACTTTTCCCAACATTTTACAATAAACAGGAACCTAGTTATCTCCTTGTCCTAAACAATTTTGGACCGTGAAAAGAGAAACATCCTAGCTGCCCACAAATTTCCAACTGTACCGAAGTAATTATGGGACTTTCCAGTGATTCAAAGAGTTTTTCCTTCGACAAATTGCCCATGATTGCCGTAACGTTGAATTGAAATAACTGTTGGGGATACCTATGTATCGAGGTCTTCATAAAAAATCGATGAACCATTGTAAATTTAATCATCCAAATTCATGAATTCTTCAATTTCTTCGTTGAAGATAAAGAGATCATTATAATTGAAAATCGAAGATTCTTCCACTTTTGAATTAAAAGAAACAAAGGGAGTTTGATCATGCATCATCGCTTTTATCATTAGATTTAACAAATAATAATTTGTCTCTATTAGGAACGTGATTGTTCTGTGATATAAAATAACGTAAGAGGATTCAAAAAAAGAAATAGTGATTTTTAAGTAGATTTTTTTTCCGCAGTGATTTTATGAATGTATCGTTAGGAAAACTAGTGATTTCCCTAATTTTTGTATAGGGATATATTTTTGCACAATAAATAAGAATTTTATAATTTATAAACTTTGAAGAATAAGAACTAGGAAAAGTCTGCATTTGGTGAGCCGTCTAGAACGCTATTCTAAAGAAGTATTGGTCCCCCTTGATATAACTTTATTTGTGCTGTCCATTGTTCGTCAAATTCCGGCAAGCATACGAATTCGTTTACAAGTAATAATCGTGATGAGAGAGTTATCATCCCACAGGAAATAATGATCAATTTTAGTATATTTGATATATTTAAATTCGTGTTTGTAACCAAAAGATGATCGAATGAATATCTAACTAATTTTTATAATTAAAACTTGTGAAAATAATGAAAGTTGGTTTAAAAATCAAATGTGCAAACGTATTGGATTTCCGACGTCATTGATCAATTCTTAGTTCTAATTCTCAACTAGTAATAATTATCTCAATTCATGCAATTACGACGGTCGATAATTCCACTATTATTTATTATTTTTTCCCAATATATAATAAAACTATGGTTACCACGAGACGATCCTATTCCTAGTCCGAATTCATATGGCAAATATGCATTAACATTTAGGATTATCCGCACACACCATAAATATTATTCATAATATTTATTGTCTGTGTGTCCCAATAATAATATTCTACATATCGTGATTTTTTCAACACAACGAATAAACAACTTATTGTTCTAATGGTGTGCAAACATTAAAGCAATATAAATATGCATATTAATGGAATCACGACGCAAGAATTAACATAAAAACATAGGTTTCGAATTAAAACTAAGTATTAAACAATTTTATTATCCATCCAATACATTAAACGAATTAGCCTAACATATTATTGGAATTAAACAAATAAAAGTGGAAGGACATCACCGAAATTTGACAAACGTAATTAATTCCAAAATTATTCTCGAATTCTGCTTCAATTCCAGTTGGAAGCCCGTGTGTTTTCTTCTCTGTCTGCATATATATATCACCCCAAGCAAGAGGAAATGGTGGGCAATGGCTGCCCCACCCGGTATGTTTTCCATAGTAGCCTTTGACCAAGTTATTTGTTAAAAAAAAAAAAAAAAATGTAAACAAAATGTGTAGGGCCGAAAATACCCTCATTTAGAGGAAAGAAGAGAAGAGAAATAGAGAGAAAAAAGAAAAGAAAAAAGGGAAAAATCAGCTACCGACCGTCGACGTCGCCTACGGACTGCCCGGACCTCACCAACTTCGACCAAGACCAGAGCCACCTCGGATTCGCCGGAGACCGTCATTTTCTTGAAGGTTAGACATGTTTTCTATAAATAACTACTTTGAATTTGTGAAAGTTTGAATGTTTAGGATATGAATATGGGTTAAATTCATGTTTCTATAGTTAAAATGTAAGAAAATATCGAATTTGAGGTTAAAATCTTGAAAAAAGTGAAAAAAAGGGGCGGAGCTCGCCGGTTTGTCCATTTCCGGCGAGCCCGCCGGTTTGGTCCGTTACGGACCAAACCGTTGGTCCGTAACGAACCATCTGACGGTCCGTTACGGACCAATCCGTAACGGACCACAACGGACCCGGATTTTGGTCCGGGTAACCGGCCCAAATCCGGGTCCGTCAAATATATATAATTTTTTTTTTGTTTTTTTTTTTATTTTGTTGTTGTGTGTGTGTTAAGAAATAAAATGAAAAATAAAAGAAATAATATATTAAGAAAATTAACGAAATATTTAAAGATAAATTAAATTGAGTTTTAATTTTTGTCCTTTTCTACTTAAATATACGCTTCAAATAAATAATCGAAATAGAGTAATTAAATATGAAATAAATAACATACGTAATTATCGAAATATTTAATGAATAAATTTAAAAAAATAATATTTTTTTTACTTAAAGAATTAAGATAATGAATTAAAGAAATAGTAAAACAAAAAATCGAATAAATATTATTCAAATAAATGATCGAAATAGAGTAATTAAATATGAAATAAATAAAACACATTATTAATGAAATATTTAAAGAATAAATTAAGTTGAATAATATTATTTTTACCTAACCAATTAAGATAATTAATTAAAGAAATAGTGAAACGAAAAATCGAATAAATATTATTATTTTTATTCAAATAAATAATCGAAATAGAGTAATTAAATATGAAATAAATAAAACACATGATTAACGAAATATTAAAAGAATAAATTAAATTGAATAATATTTTTTTACCTAATCAATTAAGATAATTAATTAAAGAAATAGTGAAACGAAAAATCGAATAAATATTATTATTTTTATTCAAATAAGTAATCGAAATAAATAATATACATAATTAACGAAATATTTAATGAATAAATCTAAGATAATGAATTAAAGAAATTGTAAAAGGAAAAATCGAATAAATATTATTCAAATAAATAATCGAAATAGAGTAATTAAATATGAAATAAATAAAACACATTATTAACGAAATATTTAAAGAATAAATTAAGTTGAATAATATTATTTTTACATAACCAATTAAGATAATTAATTAAAGAAATAG